CAAGTTTGGTTCTGGATATGGCAAACTCCAAACTTTTGATTGCCAAAAGTAAAAGATGGCAGGAAAGCCAACCTGCTTCTAAGAAAAAGACATAGTATCTTCCAATATTTGATGCATTTGGCATGTTAGCAAGGGACACACTGAGTTCCACTCAGTTTCCATTCTGATGCAATGATGTGTCGTTATAAAAATAAAATCATGAATACTGTTAGGAGTATAGATTAATTCCTGACAAAACAACCAACAGTAGAGAGCCCAGAAAAATCAGAGAGCCAATGCAACAAATGAGGAGAAAAGAAAAACAAGAAACTCAGGAACTCTGAAAAACCTATAAAAAACCAGTAATGGTTCCTCTTCTGGATCAAGAAGTGCTCAATCTGTAATGACATTGTATGAAGATCAGAACACTTTCAAAGGCAGAAAAAAGTGCACACAGAAAATAAATCAGAAGAATATAGAAATACCTCTCACAAATTCTTACTTGTGCATACAGGGAGTACAAAAGGAACATGGAGGAAAATTTTCTCTACCTTTTTTTTATTTGACAATGGCATGGCCTTAAGTTTTAAATAACAGGTCAAGGAGAATCAAGCAACCTTGCATGTTATCTTCCAAGAAATTATTTTCTCTCAGTATATTTCCAGTGTACTGTTTATTACAAAACATAACACTATATTTTCCTTCTGTATAATGAAAGCAGCATAAACAACAAGACTATAGGAATAAAGAGACAGATTTCTGAATGTGCCTGGTTAACTACCTATATTTTAATTACTTTTCCACATTTTATAGTTGCCCTGTTTGACTTCACCAAGACTACACCAACGCAGCAGTCAGGATAAGGACAACACAAGCTTTGTTAACGTGTACTTTTTATATATTTTTGACTTGACTATTTCAGGCTCCTGCAAAGAACCACTAATGTATGTTGAAGTACATTCACAATTCCATTTGCCCTTCAAGAAGCTTATGTGGCATTACCACAAGGTAGCTCAGCTCCTTGACTTAAATCTCAAAAAAGCACATAAATTAGGTATTACTGTTCTTCTGCTTTGCCTCCTTAAAAAAAAAAAAAAAAGCAAAAACCTGCATTTATTAAGAGAAAATTTACATAAAAGGGATATGCCACTTTTTAATCAGAAGGAGAGTACAATACAACTAAACCAAATGTATTTGGCACAGAAACTTTCCAACCACTCTAAAAAGGACTTCCTGCTGCAGAAAACATAGAATTGTCACTAGATATTAGAGAGCTGAAAATTGACACAAGCTGCCAGAATGTTTACACCTACAAGGTAAAATACTGAGAAATATCACAAACCTCTAAACCATGGCAGTTAAGCCACACAAGACAAGAGTTCTCATTTCCCTACTTCAACATCTTCTTACACCTCTAAGAAGAAAACCTCATTGCTCTGTTCTCATTTGCACAAGAACACTGAATCTATGCAAACATTTCAAGCATTCAGATTCTTTGATCCCACAGGAAAATCCTTTAAAAAGGCAGCTTCTGGTTTAAGGAAATTAAAATGGCTTCCAAATCATTAGCTGCACGACATACACACAATTTTTGTACACTTCAGCTGCTGATATTTGCATTCTACACTATCCATTTCTGGAAAGCATGGCAAACTGGCCTTCCCCAATTCCAATGTTTTTTTAAAAGCCAAAACTGACAATTTTTTGTGTTATTTAGATATCAGTAAGAGTTTATCAATTACCAAAGGCTTCTGTGTGTTACAACTGCAGCCTCCTACTGTTCAATCCTAAATACTACCCTATCCTGTATAATAACTTGTTTAAAAACATTGCTCTTCAGTTTAGCATTCACTGCTCAGCACACGTCAAAAAATAATTAAGGTAATAATCATCAAGGGATTGAAGCATATTTAGAAAAAACATGAGGAGAAACTGGTACAGCATGATTTCCAAATCAGCTGATTCACTACTCCAATATTCTCAGGCTCTAAAATTCAAATTTCCTGGGACACACAGGAATGTGACAGGAAGGCATACCGTATGTGAATGCTAGTTGAGATAAACAGGAGATGGGGTAGGACAGCATGCACAGAGTACCAAAGATCTTAGTTAAGATTTCTTTTCCTGTCTAATAAACCTTCCCTTTTCAGTAATTCCCCAAAAAGCTTCAAGCAAAAAAACCTCAAAAACATGGGCAGGGGAGTGTCACTGCTTTCTTCCAAAGCGTACTTCCAAGCATTACTGTACAGCTCTTGCCAATGGGGGAAAAGAAGCAAAATTTTACAGGGCATGGATTTCTGCCCTCGTTATAGGCATGCACCAAAAACTGCTGTTATGCAAACTATCCCACAATAAAGCTAACTAAATCCTGAGCCTTTCTAGGTGCGAAAAGAGTTGTCAAAATACATCAAAGTTCCTTAAAATAATCTGACCAACCCCATACTTACATAACTTGAGGATTTCTTGTAACATGCACGAGAATTGTAAAAACACAGTAAAACACCTGAAGCTGAGTATCCTTGAGTGCAATACTCATTTGTCTCTCTACAACAATATTAAAACAATTAACAATACTAAAATTACATTAAGACAATGTAAAACCATCTAAATCTGTTCATCACCCACTCTGGTACAGAAAAAAAAAAGGTCTCAAATGGCTTTTCTCTGACACAAGGAAAAAAAAAATGCTGTAGTGCTAAAAGTTTCTACAAAATATCTCAAAGCTCCCAGTGAAAACGTTAGCAAGAATTTTAATGACGTAAACATTTTACTGATATAACTTAAGCTCATTAAAAGGCTGATCTCAAGGCCAAGGTGTGTGCCACCTGTGCAAAGATGTGGCCAATGTACAGATAAAAACTAATAAAGATTAAGTATCTCTTCAGTTAATTGAACATGATCTCTCCCTCAACAGTTATTTTGATCCTTATTATAGTAAAAGGAGAAAATTGGGAGCATGTAGGGGAGTACTCAGAAATAAGCGCACGAGGTGGTTCTTACCCTAAAGATTTCTCATGTGCCTGTTTATCTATGTTTTTCTGGTTTGCTTCCAAAAATCATCAAAACAAGTAAACAAATGGCCTGTGACTATCTAGGTCTTCTCAGAACGCAAAGCTTAACTTGGAACCCACAGTACCAACCATATCTAGAAATATTTAATAGAAGTTAACTGGTGGAAGACCAAATTGGCTGTCAAAGCAAACTGCCAGCAGCACTATCACCTTTTCACACACAAATGTGAAGCCCTCATAATTTACCAATGCTCAGGTTACCTTTTATTAAAGCAGAACCTCCCTCTGAGAAACACACTGCACTCAAAAGTTCATTTCTTTACCGACAAGTAGGGGTATCACCCTTTTCTTTGCTTACATTCGCCGACCATTACAGCCAAATCACTTAAACTAGCACTTTTCACCTTGGCAAAACAAGCCTTGGGGGCGCGTCCTGAATTCTTTCGGCCTGAACTTTTCCCCTTTCTCTACGGCCCGGCGTAGGAAAAGGGCGCCCGTCACTTTCGGCAGGAGTTTGGGAGCGATGCTCAAACCCAGCACTGCTCCCAGAGCCCCTTTTCCGGCGGCGCCGGCATTCCAGAGAGAGCGCTCTGGGGGAGGAACGCGCCTTTCGCCACCGCCTCGGTGGGAGAACCCCGGCCCGGCACCGCGTCCTGCGCACCCCGACGGGCCCCGGCGCCGCTCCGGCCCCTCCACCCGGCCCCGTTCTGCCCCCCCCACGCCGGGCGCGGGGCGAGGCCCGCTGCCCTCCGCGGGGCCGCCCGCCGGGCTACCCGCTCCCCGCCCGCCGGGGCGCCCCGCCCGCGGGGTGTCCCTGGCGGCCCCGGCGGGGTGCCGCTCCGCCGCCGCCCCTCACCCGCGGGCGCCGTCCCTCGCCCCGCTCGCAGGGCCGCGCTGTCGGCCCAGCTGCCTCCGAGCGCTTCCGCCCGGGTCACGGGCCGCTTCCTGCCCCCCGCGCCCCGCCCGCGCGGCGCCCGTGCTCCCGGCATGCCGCGCGCGCGGAGCGGGGCATGCTGGGGCGCGTAGTTCATGGGGGAATCTGCAGGCCCGCCATGTCAGGGGTCGGGGTGTCGGCCGCCAGCAGCTGAATACGATCGAGCGAGTGTTCGGCTGGCCAGGACGGCAGTGACATCTGGGCTTGTGTGCAGAGTAGTGGGGCCAGCAGGACGGCAGTGACATCTGGGCTTGTGTGCAGAATAGTATGGCCAGCAGGAAGGCAGTGACATTTTGGCTTATATGCAGAGTAGTGTGGCCAGCAGGAACAGGGCAGTGATGTGCTCAGCGCTGGTGACGCCGTACCTCGAGTCCTGTGCTCCGTTCTGGGTCGCTTGCTTAATCACGACATCGAGGGGTTGGAGGCTGTCCAGAGGAGAGTAATGAAGCTGGGTAAAGGTTCTGGCTCATGAGTTTTATGAGGGGCACCTGAGGGAGCTGGGTAATTTAGCCTGGAGGAGAGAAGGCTCAGTGAAAACCTGATGGCTCTCTACAACTATCTGAAAAGAGATTCATAGGTGGGGTCAGCCTCTTCTCCCAGGCAGAGACGACACGAAGTAATGGCCTCAAATTATGCCAGGGAAGGTTCAGGTTGTGCACCAGGAGGCATTTCTTCACAGAAGGAATGTTAGACATTGGAATTGACTGCCTAGGGAGGTGGCGGAGTCACCATCTCTCGGGGGTGTTTAAGGCATGATTTGATGTGGCAATTTATACCACGGTGGAGGTGTTGGCCACAGGCTGGACACGATGCCCTCAGAGGCGTTTCCCAGCCCCACTGATCGCGGCGTTCTGCGGCGAGCGGGCGCTGCTGCGGGGGCAACGCGGAGCCGGCCGGAGCCTTCCTGCGGGCGGACCCAGGCGCGGCGCGTCCCCGCCCGCCGTGTCCCGCCCGCCGTACCCCGCCGTGCCCCGCCCGCCGTACCCCGCCGTGTCCCGCCCGCCGTGCCCCGCCCGCCGTGCCTCGCCGTGCCCCGCCGTGCCCCGCCCGCCGTACCCCGCCCGCCGTGCCCCGGCGCGGCCCCGCCCGCCGTGCCTCGCCGTGCCCCGGCGCGGCCCCGCCATGCTGCCGCTGCTGCTGCTGCGGGCCGGCCCCGCCGCCCCCGCATGGCTGCGGGGCGCCGCGCAGCTCGCCTGCCGCCGCCGGGCCGCTGTGGCCGCTGCCAGGCACCAACAGGTTCGGTGTGGGGGCTGTGGGACCGTTCGGGAACTGTGGGAGCGGGGCGAGCTTTCCCACTCCCCGGGGAAAGGGCGGCGGCCCTGCGGTTGGGGTTTTGCCCTTCGGGGGTTTGGAGGAGGAAAGCGAGGTGCTCCTCGGGGCGTGCCTCCTCTGGTACGCTCAGGCGAGACCCCAGCTGGAGTGCTTTGTCCAGCCCTGGGAGCCCATCGACCTGCTGGAGCCGGTCCAGAGGAGCCACCAAAATGACTGGAGGCATGTAGCACCTATCCTACGGTGAAAGATTGGGGGAATTGAGTTTGTTCAGCCTGGAGAAGAGGGCTTTGGGATGACCTAATTGTGACTTTCAGTGCCTGAAGGGAGCCTACAAGAAAGTTGTATTGGGAAAAGGGTCTTTCTACAACGGCATGAAGTGCCAGGACAATGGGGAATGGATTAATCTAAAGGAAGTTACTTAGCTAATCTGAGATACTAGGAAAAAAATTCTTTTCCGTGAGGGTGGTGAGGCATTGCAAGGTGCTTGAGGCTGGCCTGGATGGAGCTTGGAGCAAACTGGTATAGTGGAAGGTGTCCCTACCCACAACAGTGCTGTTTAACTGGATGATCTTAAAGGCCCAGTTCAGCCTAGGCCACTCTATTATAATTTTATGATCAGACAGAGATGTGGTGAGGACAGATGCCATAAATGTCTCCCTGCAAACCTGTATGTAAATTGATTGCTGCCTCAATTATCAGTAATGGAGTTACAAATATTTCATGCTAATTTTGGATATTTACATGGTAAGTTATTAAAACAGGCAGCATATTAGTTGGAGTTTTTGGCATGCTTTGGAGTGTAACCTAACTTTAATCCTTAGTTTGAAATGCTGAGGGTGGGTTCAGGGCAAGGAGAAACTCTATGAGTGTATACTTGTACATATATGTGTGTATATGCATGTATAGGTAGATATAAGATGTAATACTGATGTTCCTTATGCCTGTACTGGTTTCATCTTTCAGGTTGCATCTTTTCAAAGAGTGGCTGTTCGCAGCCTCAGCACATCCTCTCCTCATGATCACCCAGAACATGGAAGATTAGTTTATAAAGGAAATTTGGCAAAGACAGTTTTGGGTATGTGACTTGAAGTGGTTTATATTGCCTTTCTTTTTTGTTGTATTTTTAACAGTATTTAGTAACTTTAAAATGAAACACTAAATGTGAGTGTTCTCCTTTCCAAGTTTGCCAAAATCTGGACCGTATGTACAAAACAGTGGTAGTGGTGGTGCTTGGTTTCTGTTTCTCTGCTTGGGTGTGCAGGGAGCTCTGTTCATCTCTGTAACCCCTCAGCCTTCTTTGGCTTCTCTTGAGGCCCTTGGGGTGGCTTATGCAACCCAGTAAGCAGCAAAGCTGACCTGTAACTGCTGTTTACATTCTGTGTGCTTGGAAACACATTTCAGTGTTTCTGAAATGCTTCCCAGGCAGGCAGGTGTTATGGTGAAGTGCTCCATCTCTAATGAGACTTAGCAAATGTTTTTTTGACCAGTGAATGTTACAAAGACCTAGTGAAAGGCAAAGCCATTGGATGTTTTCTGATACATATCTTTGAAATGTGTCCTAACGTACTTATTTGTCGCAGCATCTTGGGCTCCTGGATTTATGGTCATTTAAGGACTGTGGGTGGTCCACAGCACTGGCTACTGCCTTTCAAGCCACATGCAAAATGGCTGGGGTGTACTTGTTAATATTTAGTAACCCAGGGTTTATGCATGGTAGCCAAGCTGGCTTCTTTGTAATACACACTGAATGTCAACATTAGTTGTTGATGAAGAGAGAAATTCCCTGTCTGCCATATCTGAAGTGAGCACCTTTACATGTGTCCATGAATGGAGTCAAGGCTCATTAGAAATCAGTTTATTCTGCCTGTTAAGGCAGAAAAAAACTTCATTTGTGCATAACAGCTAATAGCTGACTGCATCACAGAAATAGAGCCAGTTTTGACAAACCCAGCATGAAGGTACAAACAAATCAGAACAGCTGCAGTGAGACAGATTGAGCTTTCAATGGTTTCTCCATGAGCTTAAAAAATAGGGAAAGGGATTTTCAGTAACTTCATCAGTTTAAGTAATGGTATTGTTATGTGTTAGAAAAATACAGGTAATTGTAGAGAAAATGTTGCTCATTAGTGTTAATCTTTATTTTCTTTGATTCCTTTTATGTAGGTGTGAAGTTTTTCTCTTACTCCACCAGCATATTCAACCTATTCATGATGCCCTACATCATGCTCAAAAGTGGTATTGGAGTGGAAAGTTTGCTTGTCCAAGCTGCCTTTTATGGGTTGATCGGGATTTTTACATTTGTAACTCCGGTTACGTTGCATCTCCTTACAAAAGGTTACGTGATCCGGCTCTATTATAAAGAGGAAGTGGACACCTATACAGCCATTACCTACAATGCCATCTTGGCAGAAAAAGCAACTGTTTTCCATCAGAAAGATGTAAAGATTCCAGACATCACCAAAATGTTTACAACATTTTATGCTAAAACAAAATCAATGCTTGTTAATCCTATGCTTTTCCCAAATCCTCAGGATTATAACCATCTCATGGGCTATGACAAATCCTCATTTTTTAAATTTGAGGATTTAGAGGGGGTAAAGGAAGCTGATGAAAGGAAATAATTTGAAGATAATGTCAGTATCGTCGTCCATAATGCAGTACTATGTAAAAGAATGTAAAAATCTATTACACTTAAGTATCAGGTAGCTGGAGTTTTCCATATGCATTTCGGAATGTGTAAAGAGACAATGTTACAATGTGAGGGTTTCTTTAATGACATAAAATAGAGTAAAAAAAGGAGCTGCTTAGCCCTGTCTTTTGCTTGTTTATTCTTGGTTTGATTGTTGTTGTTAGCTCTCCAGAGAACTGTAAAATGCATGAGCTGCATGGCAGTCTCACCACTTCTGTGTCAAAAGACACTCATTATCTATTGCGTATGTAGTTAAGATTTTAAGCCTTAAATATTAATCGTACTTAATCTAAAAATACCAGGCTTTTTGTTGCTGCTGGTGATGGTATAAAGGGAGTGGTCATGGCTTTCCCTTCCCTTTGTGACACCATCGGTAGCCAGGAGGAGTCTCTGGAAAGCAGACAGGTATTCTTGTGAATTCCTGCTACAACTCCCTCCCAGAGGAGAGAAGAACATGGGGAGGATGGCTGTGTATCTATAGAGCAGTAAGTTCTAGCTACTCAAAGGTACTCTCAGGTAAACTAAAGTCCCACTCCAAGCAACCCTGTCCTCAAAGGTGAGGAGCAAGAAGCTTCCCTTCTTGGGTATCGTGACATAAGATTTGCTCTGTGAGCATCCCACTGACAAGAGATGCTGTATTTGAATTGACAAAATTCTAGCAGCTAGTGGTTAAAATGCATTCTGTCAGCATTTATGTAAGGTGAGGAAGCATTTCTTCTAAAGAACACACCTCTTGATTTTCAGCACTGTGAAAAAAGCCACCTTTTCACTCAATTAAAAAGGGGATCCAGTCTTTTTGTGGTACTAGACTGGTTCTTCTCCCTTGAGTATGTAGAGGTTGGATTTAAATTTTTTAGCTCAAAGCGCGTAAACTGACAGATACTTGTTTTCAAAGAATGAAGGACTGAAATATTTTGAGACATAAAAATTACTGAATTGAAAAAAACCCCAAAATTAAAATTAATCCTTTTGTGTTAGCAGTGCCCTTTGTAATAAGAAAATCTGATGCTTGCTACTAATCATCCTGATCCTGCAAATAAAAAATTACAGCTAACTTTCAAGATGTTTTCTAAGTTGTAGCTGAAAAACTATTTAAAAGTTTAAATATCTTCCAATACGATTATTTCAATTTCCTTTTTTAGGATGACACCATGCATGATATTAAACCAGGGTTTTGAATGTTGCTTTTCTGACTGCCCTCAATGTGTTTGCTTAGTAGTTAAAATACAAATTGTCCCATCCGAATTTTTGAGGCAGTTTTTTGTGTTGGCACAACTATAATTTTAAAAGGGTTATAAAGTTTCTTTAAGCCAGTATCATATCATGGGTAGCAATAATATATAAATAAAGTTTTAATAAAATGATATTGAACATGTGAGGTTCAAATTATATTGAACAAGCAATTCTGATCACCTGGTTGTACTACTTGTCCTCATTAAAATGATGTTTTACACATAGTTAAAAGAAATCTTTCCATGTCTGATGCATTCATTCACTCCTTTTGGTTCTTGCATTGAAAGATGAACTTGACTTGACCTTCCAATGACAAATATGGGGAGAACAGAAAATAGAGTTTGCTGGGGAAAGGTAAAGGCCCCAAAATTATATTTATGTTCTCCATAGGCAATATCAAGATCCTCATCTTCTGGCTGCAAAAAGTTCTCATGTCTAAATTTAAGATTTGGCCAATTCAGAATTAAGCAGCAAGAGTAAGATATCTCCATGCCAGTGGTTAAATTTCTGTCTATGGAAGATAAATATTCTGCTAGTGCTCTGATAGTGAAAAGTAAGTGAAGCCAGTAGGTGGCTGTGTGACACACAGATGATTAAAAATAATATTAAAGAACCCAGAATTCTACCAGAAAATAGGTGATGATTCTGGCTGGGGTGTAGTCTCAGAAAAAATACTTCCAATGTGCAACTTGAAAATAATAGGATAGTACTTTTATATTAGAAAAAAGAAGACCAGACTTATTGAAGATACTCAATATTCTACTTGCTTTTGCTTTGTTTGCTGCTACACTTAGATTGTGTACTTGGAATTGTAGGACCATTTAGGTTGGAAAGGACCTCGAAGATCATTAACTCCAGCCATTAACTCAGCACTTCCAAGTGACCACTAAACCATGTCCTTAAGTACCACATTTATATATCTGTTTAGATACCTTCTGGCGTGGTGACTCGGCCATTTCCCCAGGGAGCCGTGCCAATGCTTGACAGCCCTTTCAGTGAAGAAATATTTCCTAATATCCAGGCTAAACATCCCCTGCTGCAACTTGAGGCTGTTTCCTCTTGTCCTGTTGCTTGCTACTTGGGTGGAGAGACAGATCCCACCTTGCTATAACCCGCTTTCAGGTTGTAGAGATTGGTAAGATCACTTCTGAGCCTCCTTTTCTCCAGTCTGAGCAACCCCAGTTCCCCCAGTGTGGTATTCGCATACCCTCTGAACAGAGAGAGACTTCGTCTTCTCAGGATTTCTCCTGAGAGAAGCAAAGAAAAGAGAATCAAAACAATTCTTATCTCATTCGCTGCTCCTGTGCTTGTGCTGGTGTGGAATGTGGCGTGGAGATTGTTTACCCAAGGTGATTGACTGGGTCCTGGTGATGGTGTTTTGGACTGATTGACCAATTAGGTCACAGCTGTGTTGGGACTCTCGGGAGAGAGTTACGGGATTTCTTGTTAGTGATCGTTATTATTAGTGTTATATTAGTGTAATATAGTTATAGTATAATAGATTAATAAAGTAATTAATTAGCCTTCTGAAATCATTTGAGTCCTGTACATCATTCTTCCTGTGTCAGGATCCCAGCACCGATACCCCCAGCTGTTTGTTCCTCATAAGACTTATGCTCCAGACCCTTTACCAGTTTCACTGCCTTCTCTGGACACACTCAACACCTCAATGTCCTTTGTGTAGTGAGAGACCCAAAAATGAACAGAGAATTTGGGTATACTTCCACATATGTGACTGGTTTCAATCCCTGGAATTTTTGAGAGCAGTTATTCACATTAGAATCAGAATAAAATAAGGGAATTGTAATAAAAAAAAGACTTCAGGATGTGTTTCTTCTTTGCTCTGAGTTCTGAGCAGTCTGTCTTTATTAAGATATTTTTTAGTGCGTTGTGTGCATTTCCAGGTGGGAAAGCTCTGAAATCCTTGGTGTCTTTCTACGGTAGAAAATGTGCGTATCAGAACAGGCCCTCTTGCTACTAACAAATCCTGCAAGAGAATCAACTGTGGTGTGAGTGTTTCAGTAAACAAATTACTACCAGGTAATTGCCAAAGTCTGTTAGCTCCATGTCTGTTTAACAACCTTATTAATTATGTGAATTACTATTTTTTTCTAGTGTATTTTTCTTCAGTTTCATACACTTGGTGAAAAACCAGTATTAAGTGCAGAAGTATTACTGCCTGCTAACATTTTCATCCCTGGAAGTTGGTGATATTTATTTGGGTGTAGGTAACTTGTATATGATATGGAAGAAACTATGTGATCTAGAGAATGTCCTTGTACATGTGGAGGTTCTGAAGGAAATACTGATGTAGGAGGCCAGTTTTCTGAAATAAGTGATTTAGAAAACTTTAATTGAAAGGTAATGCCTACAGTGAAGGCTGACAGCTCCAGCAGCCTTTTCAGGACCAACCAATCACTTGTCCATAGCATCGGGACACATCTTATCCTGGTCCCAGTTTCACTCAAACTGGTATGAAGAGCAGGAATGTATCAATGTGTATCACTAACAGTGTGGCCAGCAGGACCAGGGCAGTGATTGCCCCCACTTCACTCGGCACTGGTGAGGCCACCTCATGTACTGTGTTCAGTTTTGGGCCCCTTAATTCAGGGAGGGTGTTGAGGTGCTGGAGTGTGTCCACAGGAGAGCAATGAAGATGGTGAAGGCTCTAGAGGGTAAGTCCTGACAGGAGCAGCTGAAGGAGCTGGGATTGTTTAGGCTGGAGAAAAGGAGGCTTGAGAGGAGGCTGTAGGCAGATGGAGGATTGCTGATCTCCCAGGCAACCAGCAACAGGATGAGAAGAAATGTCCTCAAGCTATGCCAGGGGAGGTTCAGGTTGGACATCAGGTGGAATTTCTTCATAGAAGGGGTGATTAGAAATTGGAACAGGCTGCCCAGGGAAGTGGTGGAGTCACTGTCCCCGGCGGTGTTTAAGGAAAGGCTGGATATGGCACTCAATGCCCTGGTCTAGTTGCCACTGTGGTGTTTGGTCATAGGTTGGCCTCGGTGATTTCAGAGGTCTTTTCCAACCTAGTTAATTCTGTTATTCTGTATGAAATTACTGAAGTTTCCTTCCTAGACACATTCTTTCTATGCCCTTCCAGCCTTAAAAGCTTCCACAAAAGGTCATGGATGACTGGCTTTTTTCTTTTTTCTTTTCCCTTTGAAGAACAGTTAGGATATATGCAAATTTTTCTTTTCAGTCTTTGACTATGTGTTATTTTCTTGCTAGTGACCCTCTCCGTTTCTCAAGTTTTTGGCTTTGTCCACGTTATTTTTCATTAGTCCCTATCTGTTCTTAATTATAAAGTACAAAGCTCCTTGTCATACTTTAAAGTTATTTTTTAAATTAAAGTATCTCATAACCCTCATCCTTTTCTTGCAAATGTAAAATTTTTTATGAGAAAATTATTCCTTTTTGATACTTCAAAGAGAAATCTTTAAAGCTCTGAGGTACTTCACACTCTTAACCACACTCTGTAGAATTAAAAGGTAACTAATTTGACTGGAGTAAAGACATCACATTGGCAAAGATTAAGAAAATATATAAATTTTTTGCATGAAACCATGAGGGCTTAATTTAGGTGATGGAAAATTCATGGAAGTTTCTTTGTGCTGTAAAAATTAAGAGCAGACATGTGAATTACTACAACTGCTCAGTATAACTTAATAGGGTGGAAACTTGGTAAACTGCTGTAAGTTGGTTGCTCTGGAGTTCTGTGGCCATACCACAAATTTCTTCATGCCTCATACCATGGATTTCTTCATTCCCCCATGTACAGCATAGCCTGCTTCAGCCTGCATGAGAAACGGGACAAGTGTGCTTAGCTGTGAGTTGTATCCTCTATAATAAGATTATCTCAGAGCTACACAGACCTCAGCAAGCAGCTATTTTAAGCAGGGAATAGCAGAGAACAAGAGCAAACAGCTGCAAAACATGTCCAGCTGTCTCCCTTTCTAGAATTCGGGATGGAAAGTGTTGCTGTGGTGTGCATACTGTGAGCCTCAGGTAGGACACCTCCCTTTCTTGTCCCTTCGTCCTCTACTTTCTTTTCTTTTCAGCAATTTTAATAGTCTAATGAATACTTCAGAGTACAACTGTAAGATTTAGTCCTAAACTTGGCTTGCAGAGAATAAACCAAGGCTACTGGCAAGAGGCAGGGAGTAATTTCCAACATAATAGTTTGCACAGGAAAACCATACCACCTGGTATGTGTTTGCTACAATTTAATAGTCTCCAGTGGTTTAATGTGATATATTCAAATCAAACCACTAAGGCAAAGTTCATACAGCATTTAACAAAACGTATTCAGTGTAATGCACAGCACTTTTTCTATATTTCAAAAACTCTTTGGTTTCTTACTCAAATGCTACCAATGCACCACTGGATATGTGCCAGTGCCCTGCTCTTTGTTTTGACTCCCATGGTACCCTCGAGCAGTTCATCAGTTGCCTGCAGGGGAAATTAATCCTCTACCTCTTTATTGTATCCTTGGACATGACTTTCACTATAAACAGTGTCAAAAATAGAGTGAGGCAATTTGAGAGGAGTCTACAGTTTTCTATTCTCCATGCTGATAGTTGAGTGTATTTTTATTTTTTGAATGCAGTCTTATGCCTTATATACAGCCCCTTTATGTTATAGTGCCTACAGTATCAACCCTAAACCCAGAATCAGGAGGAATAAATGTCTGCTTCCAGTTGCAAAATTATCTACTTCAAAAATTCACAAATTGTCCTGCAAAGAAAATTATTATTGCCTCTTTCTCTATTTAACAAATGTGGTTAATGTCTTAAAAGAGTTTTCCATTAAAGTGAAATTTTGTTACATGCCAAAAGCTAGAATATAATTGTTAATTCTGTGTGACTAACACTTTGAAATGGAATACCTTCCCCTGTTATTCTGTTATTTATGTTTCTGTGATGAGATATGATGATCATGCATATTATAAATCTTTCCTGAGGAAGATTTTAATGACTTATAAGTGCTTATCTGGTCAGCGTACTCATCTGCAGCCAACAATCCAAATACAAAGTGATTATTTTGAAAGGCAATCAAAAGTAAGTTAAGCCCTTTTTGGATGCATTGAGAAAAAAGATAAAAATATCATGAATTATTTTAAGGATGTTAACTACAAATCAGTGAGGAAACTTGCAATAAGCTTCTATTATCAGCATCTCGATGCAACGAAATTAAAAGTCATAGGTATGAAGTTCTAAATTCCTTAGACTTGAATTTATGTACTGTTAATTGTATATGAGAGCTGGTTCCTACTGAATTTACTTGCAAAGGATTTTGAAATAAATGAAGTATTTCACTGACAAAACCTCAGTGAAGTAACCTTATTGTGTAGCTCTTTCTGCTTCTCCTTGCTTTTTGCCTTCCTTCTGGATTGGAATATATAAGAAAAAGAATATACTAAAGAAAAAGATTTTGTAAAAGTAAAGTGTGTATGACTTTGTAGTCTTCTGCAGTGATCCGCATACTGACTTGAAAGGAGCAGAACAGACTCTTCACACCACTAGTGCACTAGTTTGGGACTTCAGTGATCGTCACAAGACGTCACTTTTATGAATAGCATCGATGTTGGCATGGAACACCACAAGCATCTAAAACAGAGTTTGCTGGAAGTATTTAAAAATAATTTAGATTATTTAGATTTAATGACAGTTTGACCAAACACAGTGGTCAAGGTTGTGGGCTTTATAAATATGGCCATAAAGGATATTTTATCTGTGATACCAGTAGTGCTTATTGTTCCTGTTTTCCCACTTAGTCATCCAGATCCTTTTAAATTGAGCTTTCTTACACTGACTTTTTAAAGCATTGGAATAGCCTTGACTTGTGCAATAAAAGTGCAATAAGGAAGGAGCAGGAGGTTTCTGCATGTGTCTGTCTATCCAAGCCACCAGGGGGGACTCATTCCTCATCTATAACTTCTGCAGCAAGTATCTGGAAAAAAACACCTATTCTTGAACCATGTCTAGAAAGTCAATTCAGCAGAGAGTTTCTCTTCTTTCATATTAAGAGAGCTTTATGTAAAATCTTTTCAAACTTCAGTGCTCTTTCCACTCTGCCCATGAGTGCATCAGCCACCCAACACATTGGTCAGCAAGGCCAGACCAAGTCTGGCCACAGAGGCACCCACGTTCAGCTGGGAAATCTTGTACATCAGTGGGGTACAGTCAGTGCCACCCGCTGCCCGCTTCAGACTGACCTTGGACTTGTGCTAAACCTGTTGGACTTATAGAAGACTCAGCAGAGAGCCTGGCTTGGCTTCTCACAGATTATCCTCCTTCACACCACTGGTCATGGCTTTGTGGTGGAAAGGAATATTTTTTTGGCTGTATGTGCAAAAGGCAGCTCTTCTTTTGTAGCTGCTTCATTGTCCCTTTGTGATTGTCTTACTGCTCCATTTCTTTTTTCCAACTATTACAGCCTTCCTGATTTATTTCGATTTCACTGCATGTCTTACTATTTTTAAGCAATATTTGTCCATCTTGAACCAGATCTGTGTTATTGCTATGATCACAAAGAGCTTATATGTTTTACAGCATTCTGTTAAACAACAGCAAACATCTGAGTGTGGTGTATGTACTCTGGGGATCTGTCAGGAATGTAATATCATTTTGAATTCCCACTTAAAAGCCAAATACTGAAAATTTCTTAACATTTTGATCTCTACCAGGCCAGTGGGACTCTTCTTGTGGTCTATAGAAGGATTTGGAAATACTTGAGCTAATAGCTTCAGTATTTCCAAATCAATAGCTTTAATAGCTGCATTAATTTTTCAAATTTTTATTTTATTTTGTGAATTATTACATGCTCATTAAATGGTGCTTTCAGGCACCTTTAATTCAATTTTCACCTTCCTTAATTAATCTAGGAACAATCCCTATCTCTGAGCACACTCAGTCATGGTTTTCATGTGCATCATTATTCCTAAATTTCTTTTGTGTTACATGTTCAGACTTCTGAAAAACAATTTCTTAATATTTTGCTACTTTACCTTTATAATATGTAAATTGTTACCCTGGCATGCACATAATTTGTGAGAATAAAAACTTTTAGGTGTTGTGATGGGGAATGGAAAGAGTCAGAACAACTGATTGTAATATTTATTGGAATTTTTATTGAGTTTCCTGCTTAGCATGAATCAAACTCAAATACCTCTCTATTTTATGTATTGCTTCTTTTTCTTAAAAAATAAATAGTTTCTAATCTAAGAGAAGTCAGCAGACATATACACAAACCAAGAAGGTAACTTGTGAGAACATTATTTGCTTAATTTCTGTAAGTCATTCTTCCATTGAATTCAGTAGACTTCCATATTTCATTATACTGAGAAAAAAATATTTAGTTCTGTTTCCCATCAGGTAGAGGGGGTTCTGCTCTCTTGAATGAGCTATTAGGCTTAATTTGATCTGTTCCTGTAGTTGGGATTAGCTGAGACTAGCTGCTTACTACTGCTGATGAGTCAACTAAACTTGCTCATTATGTACTTCTGGTAGTCATAATGTCGTTTCACTTCCCCATTTCACACAGTTTTCTCTTTAATTTTTTCACTCTGGGTTTGAACTGCATTGTCTGGGGAAAATGTAACAGCAAAATCAGGAATTCTTTTTCTTAACAAAATTTAGTGTAATGATAACTGACAGTGCTGCATCAGGATTAACAAAAATTGCAGAGAATTTGATAAATAACAGAACTTTCCCCGAAGACATGTGACTGACGATGACTGTGCTGAATTTTCTTCCTCTTTCTCCCAAATGAAGTTTTATACCATCGAATACTGAGCAAAAAAAGTAAAACTATGTTTGGACTCATTTTGTTCATTTTATTCACCCCCGGAGTCAGTGAATTAATTTGTACATCATCTGATCTTGAAATGTCATATACTTTTTGTGGTAAGTAAAAAAATAGATAATCCTTTTGTTAAATTTGTGGGATAATTACTGTAGTCTGAGGGATTGTAAATTTTCTTTCAAATTTGTTTCCTTGAAGAATACAGAAAAATAAAGAATAAGTATATTTCTGTTATTAATCACCCTGCTAAAGAATTTTACTTCATAGGCATAAATCTTACCACAATGCTGGTTTCAGCAGCTAGGAGAGAGAGAATTTTATTCTCACATGATGTTTTTGTTCAGGAAATATTAGAAAATAATGGATTTAAATTTGTTTCATAAGAACTCTGTTGTATGAATTTTAACTATGGAGTTAACCAGTATGTTACAATTGAAAGCTTGAAGTATGTGGGAGAAAAAGAGAGAATGTCATATTCTGTCAGGCTGTGGTACCAATCAGGTTCTGAGACAGCATGGTGTATTCCTTCTTGCCCTGTCTGTGTCATGGGCTGATATTTTTTGTATTTTAAAAATACAAGGTGGGTCAGTCACAGAGTAAATCTACTCAAAGGTTCATTTACATTACTTGGAAAATATGCTAGTGCATTAAAAATATTTTTTAGCTCTTGTCAGCATGATTAGCATAAGTAGGGATATTTTCAGTAGAAGACCATGCTGGTTTAGTGCTAAAAAAGAGTTTGTATATCTTCAAAAGAGAAATAAAGGCACTTTTGTTTCTGTTTTTGTGTGCAAATTATCATCAGCCAAAAATTGACTTCTCTTTACTTAAAGAAATATGATAAAGGTTTTGCTGTCTGAATATAAAAATAATTAATAATATAATTAAAAAACATATTTAATAATTACCACATATATTGAATAGTTTTATAGCATGTAACTTAAATACATTTTAAAATATGTATATGGTTTTTGTGTGTATAACTGTATATTGGTATTATTTTATGGAGAAGCCTATTCAAACTATCAATGTGAAATGTTTTTTTTCTGTAGATTCTATGGCTCAGGCTTTCATGTTTAATCTGACACCTTGCAGCGTGACCAACGAACATGTCTGGAAGGCTGCTCTTACCTGGATTCCAAGTGAGTCTCTCTTAACTAGACAATTATATTCTGGAAATGCTGAAAATGAAATACAACTGAAAAACTGACACTTCATCTTAAATGCCAAGTGATTTAGGAAATTGGTTTCTGGGGTTAAAAATGGAGTGGCTAAACTATAGTCATGGGCAGAAATGATGATTTGAGAAAATGTGTTTGAGTTTTACTTGGACGCAGACTGTCACTATACATTCAAATCTGTGACAGTTTAGGTGTATGAGCATTTTGGTCTTCTGGCCTGGAGAAGATCCGAATCTTTTAAAGGAGAGAGAGTATTATAAGGCCGTTGAACTATGGCAGGACTTCTGCAGAGAATATGTATGTTCCAGAAGCTGGAAATGGTACTGGATTTTGTGTGCAAACCTAACTGTGATCTTTAAACCTAGCTTTAAGCCAGCAAGCTCAGCTCATGAAATGTTTAGGATCTGGCTGTATCATAAATTTCCCTTTCTGCACTAGGTTTGCTTCCCTAGAAAGATATCTTTGTGATGCATTCATGATAGTTTGTTTGCAACACCTGCTTAAAACTAAGGTCTTCATTTGAGTGTGTGTTTAGATTAGCTGTGGAGGTGAATGAACTCTGGTTTTTTTACTGAAGAAATTAAAACTAACTTTGAAATTTTTCTCTCAAATATTTTTGAAGACTAATTTTTTGTTGTTGTTAAAAACAACAATATCTTTTTTCTTTTTTTCTGGAAGTTGCAGTTTTCAAAATATATGCCTTTTTAGTTTTGGGGTAGTCTTACAAATACACAAGTATTTGTATTTTGCCAAGTATTTTGGCAAAATCTAGGTTTTTTCTAAACAGCATGTCTCCATATATGCTTTTCTCCCCCACCAGTTACCATTTTCTTGCTTGCAATTTTTGAATTAGGAAGTGACATCCACTTTTTGAAGATTGTCTTCAATGTCTGGTACGATGGTGCCAAAGCGCTCTTCTGGAAAGAACTCCTCTGCAGCGGAGCTGACGATGAATACTCAGTGTGTGGAACACTGAAAGGAGGTTGGTGTGAAAATACATGGTGCAATCAACCCATGCAAACAGGTTTTTATCTCTACAATCTACACCTTGCTTGGCAGACCTCAGAGCAGGCAATTCTCCCATTGCAGAATGCCATTGAAGTAAAAAATATCCAAATTCTTTATTTTAACATCCTTGTACTGCGGTTTCCATCTCCATAAATGAGGACTAAAGGCCTGTAAGGAGGTCAAAATACAGTCTGTTTTCCATTCTTTAAAAATCAGTATCAGCTCTCTTCAGTTACCATTCAAGTGAACTACTATTACAAGTTAAATTACTGGAGTTATCACAGTAGGATTTGTCTGGAGGAGATGTTGCAGGAGCACTGTGGTTAATGTCTATTTTCTAATGTGGTTTCAATAAAAAGTCAGAGCTCTGAGAGAAGAACCAGACGGGGGCTTTATCAGTGAAAGAGTAAATGACATTGGCAACTGCTGCTGAGAGATATGCCATATTGCTTTGAAGTGATTTAGGCAGTCTGATTAATGGCTTTATGGTTAAGTAACTCTTTGTATTATAATTATCTCTGTTTTTCAGAAACACTTGCATCAGCATTTGACATTAAAGGCTCAAGAATAGCATTTCCAAAGGTACTTTTCAATGTTTTGTGTAATAGTAAAATCACATACTTACAGGTATATTTTTTCTGAAGAGAGATGTTCACCAAAACTGTAGAAAACAGAAGAGGAAATGTCAGAAAACTTTCATATAATAGAAGTGATGACACTAAAATGGTAGCATCTCTGAAATGCTAAGATGTTCTAAGGTTATTATTCCTCTATCATTCCTCCTTTATTTTATGAAGGAAAAGACCAAAGTAATCAGTTAACATCACCTTAATTATTCCATTTTGTTTAGTAAATTATTCTCTTTCTTTTTACCTGTTTGAGTAAATCCATTCATATTCCTTCTGCCCTTTTCATTCTTTATTTTACATTTTTTTCACATGCTGCTCTCTTACTCCCTGAAACCATTTCAAAGGTTTGAAGAGAGATAACAATATCCAAAAAGTAAAAGTAGTGCTCTACTGTTAAAACAGGGGCAGCACCAGTCCTCAGGTTAAGCCATTCTGTCTAACAACTGCCTCATCAGTTGTCTGAGCTTTTCCAAGACCCTTATCAACCCTATTAATCCCTAAAAAAAGCACTAAGGAGCTTCTACTGGTCCAAAATCTCCACCATCCCCCTTAGCTCATGGACTTCCAACAGTCCAACACCTCTTGTAGCCCCAGAGCTAGTAATGGACAGGAACATCCTCTGCCATGAGCTGTCCTCATATCGATGAAGAGCTCATGGTAGACTTGACATTTCCTGATAGGACTCTGCTAGACCAGGAAATGTCATTCCTCAGTAGTCCAGCCATGAGAAGAAAGCTGAATACAGTTTTATTTGAATGCACTCATATACCTGACTATACCCAAGAAAGCAGTTTTGATGGGAATCTATTTTTTTCAGTTCTAACATACATCACCAGAACCATTCCAAGAGACACTTAGACAAGAGCAGGCAGTATTGTGGACTAATTGTATTTTTTTTTTTCTTGTGTGTTTTAGGGCAATTATAGTATTGTTGTGCAAGGATTCTCTGATGATTCTGAGAATAATATGGTCATATGCTTGAATTTCACCATGATAGTAAAACAAGATCTTTTCTGAGTGCAACAAACTTCTCAAATAATTCCAGAACATGGAGATCACTTCTGTAAGCAACTAGAATCCAAGCTCTGAAATAATATGCATTCTGAATTTCCTGAAGCAGAATATATCATGTGCTATCTGGGAAGCTTTATAGTCTTACTCATTTGTAGCACAGCCATAATCAGTTGCTCGGCCAACGTGCACCAAATCTCTGGGAATCAGCTATCCTGGTTAAGCCACAGAACTACCCTGACTTGATGTCAGTCTGGACTTGCATTTTAGTGCTGTGCCTTGAGTTACAAAAAAGTTGATCCTTCAGGCTGACATAAAGTAATCAAGAATTTTGAAGTGCAAGAATCAGAAGTTCATCAGTATTCAATTTAAAATAACACAGCAATTGAATTTGGGAATCCTGCTGTGAGGTGGTAAGGGTGTTTTTTGGGTTTGTTTGGGTTATTTTCTTTTCTTGTAACAATAAAACTTGTACAATCAATCAGTTTAAGAGATGGTTTTTATTCTCCTGTTATTTGCTAATGTTTCTTCAGATGTTTCATATTGTTCTGCTCTGTTTACACCAAACTGAAACAGAGGAGTAATTTGTTATGTGGTAGTAGCTGATGTGGATGAAATCCAAAGTGGAACACGTTCCCAGTTACACTAATACAGTACAGCTGAATTTAGCCAGCCAGAGCTGCAACTATAATCCCTTAGAATGTTTTTAGCTCTTGCTCAGAGTCCGAGGAGCAGAGGTTACACAAGCTGTGTCCTTCAGAAGCAGGAGGTTGGTGTCACACAACAGGTTGATCAATTCCTCAGTTATTCCTCAAAGGCATTTCTAAAGTTTTCCTGTAGCTTTTGCCCCTTGGGCAGACAATACTGAGTACCCATCTGCCCCCTCTGTTGCTCCTCTGCACCCAAGATCTTCAGTCAGACTTTGGTGGGGTATGAGATTTAGTCCTTAGGAAAAGTGCTGTCCTGTTTTCATCCTCAGCCCCCAGACAGCAGTGCTGGTGAATTTAGTGAGTTCAGAGACTTTTCCCCATCTAACAGGATGCTATTGAAGCTGCACTTTGTGTTGGCTACTGGTTCATGCTGTCTAGCAGATTGCTTCCAAATGCCTGAAAAAAATTAAAAGCCAGAACAAACCAACCTCTTTTAGACTGCCAAATACCAAGCATGCAAATTAGAAGTGAAGCTTTTAATCTCACTTTACACATAAAGATGTTTTTCAAACTTGCTATCAGAAAAGTCAAGGAAAAACCCCACATCCAAGTTTGTAGATACCCCATTTTAAACGTGGGTTTAATCATAAGTAGTTTGGCTAAATAAAGCAAAATGATTAAGAGTAAATAAAAACATACGTAGAACTGCATAGAATGCATAGACTGGAGATAAGAAGCCAGAATTACTTACAAGTGATGGTGGCAAAGCATCTGTGCTTTCCCTCATTCCATAGACCATTCCAAGTAGTCCAAGAAGGAGTATCACAGCATGTTCTGCTTATGTCTGAGCTGATTTACTACAGCTGTGATCTATTTATTCATAACCTGAAATACCAGTCAAGAAGCAGCCTGGGAGTATGACAAGCAATACCTACCTTTCTTCTTCTGTTTTGCTTATTTCAAATAGTGTTTGTTTCAAATTATTGACCTAAGGAACAGTCTTACCTTATGATGTCCCTGTGCATACATTTCACAGCATCCAGCAACCACAAGTCTCAAAATCATCTGCAGTGACTAGGTGTCCTGAGGTTTTTTTGGCCTGAATTATTTGGGGTGTTAGAATAAATATTTTGTTTATTAAGCAGCAAGCAACACAAGTAGGAGAGATTAACCCTCCTGGAGATCAAAGACATTCATGTGCTCTATTTTATATAAGCATGTTTTAATGCTTTATGGATGTTACAGAAAATTTGCAGTACATATAAAGGTATAAATAGAATAGAGACATTTACAGATAAATATATGCACTCAGTATCTTGCCTTGCAGACTTTTGTAACGTGGATCTTCAGCTGAAGGGTTATAATTGTACATGCCAGCAGATAGGACAGCAAGGCAGAGCCACACTTTATAAAGAAAATACTTTTCAGGGGCCTCAAGCTTTCTCCTTCTATGACTGCAAATTTCCACTTATCCCAGTGCTGGTGACTGCCACACTACATTCTCCTCAGACAAGAGGATATAGATTTTGTAGTGTTAGATCATGCAAGCAGCTTACCCTGAAATTGCTGTGATACTGTAGGGTGAAGGGCTGAGCTGAAGGCAGAGCTTTGCTCTTCATGTCTGGTTCCTGGGACAGAGTTCTTAAAAGGTTTTCCTTCCTTCCTTCTGTTGCTGTCCAGAGCTGACAACAGTTATCACTTATTTCATTTCCAAACTTTCCTGAGCCCATATTCAGGGCTCAACAGCAAAGAGAAGTTTCCTTAGGATGAAGTGAGCTACTTGGGCTCCATGAAGACTAATCTGAATGTTTCCCTTTTCTTCACTTTTATTGGTCCAGTAAACTTCGATCCATTTTTTGTTTCTTCATGTTCTGCCTCTGTCTACAGAGTGTGAATACTGTGAAATAAAACACCAACTAAGAATTTCTTTCTTAAAATATTCTGTGAGAGCTACATGCTCTGAGATCCTCTATTTTGCCAGGAGTTCCTGTGAAACGTGCAAAGCCTCCTCACGTGCAAACAAAAGTAAATCAAGGAAGGTTTTGTGTTTGGCATATTTATGTGAAATTAGTATCTAAAGCCTTCACAAATACCTCTTTTTCTATCCCTCATTTCTGTTGTTTTAAAGAGGCTGTCAGGATTTTCTGCAGATGGGAAAAGAGCTTTTCTTCACCCCCTCACCCTCTGTTGCCAAATATGTAATTATGAGAAGAAGCAGTTCCTGTACATTGTGGTTTCCAATAAGACTGCACACTTTGAGCTGTGCTGTTACAGTTTTATTTGATAAAAGCTATAAAGTATTCAAAATTTCAAGTGATCAAAGGCTTGCTGACCACAATAACAAGTACCTCTGCTGCCTGAAATTGTAACATCATTTGAGATAGATGCACAAAAATAATTCCATGTAATTCGGGTGTTACAACAGCATCTCTTGTGTCCAGGGAAGCAATTCTCTTGGTCACCGCTTAACTTGGATGACACAGAGCACAGACACTCAGATGGAACAAATCAAAAGAGAAGCAAAGCAGCATTAATCCCTTCTGCACAACATTTTTTCTTGGTGGAAAGTGCTAGCAATTGCCTTGGAAGGGTCTGTGTAGCACATCATGCTGAATGACTCCAGCTCCTTCATTCTGCCTGTGAGTCCCTGCCAGCACGACTGAGTTCAGGGACAGCAGATGGGGTAGTGACATTTCTAATGGGAAGAGATAGGAAGGAGGGAGGGAAGGGAGGGGGTTCCTGCCTGCAGAGCTTAGGGGAAAGAGGACAGGAGAAAGGAAATTTGGAAAGTCTTCTTGCTGTCAATAGAAATTGCTGGACTTTGGAAATCTTGGATAATAGGCACTGTGCACACATACTTGTCTTGTGGATCCCAGGCACCCTTGTAGATCCCTTGGCTGCAGTGGATGGATATGTCCTTTTCTTCAAGATACATTTTACTACTGACAAAAAGACAAATATATGTATATAAAATACATGTATTTAATATATATGCATACATATATATATATATATATATATCTATATATATATATTAGGCCAGGCATAACAGCTTTCCAAAGTTTTCCTTGAGCCTTAGCTTAAATGAATGTCTTAGCTATGAGTATTGTGTTTTTAAATTCAAAGTTTTTGCTAAAATAATTTCTTTCTGACATAAAGCAAAACTTTTAATAGTGAACCTGGTTGTTTGCTCACAGGAAGGAGCAGTCACTCATTTTAAGTACTAAGATTTCCATCTGCCCATTTCCCCATGCTGCACAAAACCTTTGAGAACTATAGAGTAGATAGTATTTTTTTTTCTTAATTTGTAACTTCTGCCAACTGCATACATTCAATGAATGTTTTGTGAGAAGTTTGGCATCTCTACTGAAGTACCTCCATACTGATTATGAGGTTGGTTTCATTCTTAAATATGTTCTCTTCAGTCACATTCCATTTAGACTTTTCACTGTGTTACCCACAATTTTTATATTTTTAGTATACCAGTGCAGTTTAAAAATTTCAGTAATATAAATAAAAAAAGCCAAAACCAGAAAACCAAAATAAATGTCATACAATAAACAGAAAACAAAATAATGGCTTTAGTCTTGTGAAAGCAACAAAGTTGAAATAGCACTCCTTCACTTACAAGATGCCTAAAGGAGGAAATAATAAAAAATACTGTGCATATGAAAGTGAACCATTGTTCACTACGACTGTGAATTAATTTGATCCTGTTTTAGAATTACATTGCTTCATTTCACATCTGAATATCAGCTGAACAGACTGGTAGCTATCTTTTCTAATCATATATCACACTGAAGTGGCGTGCTCCATGTCGGAGGATATTGCATGTAGTGGAATTTTCCACTATCTTTAAAGCATTAAAGATACTTTCATGACACAGATGTAAAGTAGACAGAACAATGAACATCATTAATGAATGTTTCACAGATGACTGTCAGAAAACAGACTGTCAGCAGGAGTATTTCTTTCTGATTCCCCAAGCTACATTCCAGTGATTCTGACTGCTAATTGTACAGTTTCTCTAACCTGTGAAAGTTTTTGTGATTTTAATATTCAAATTACGGAGGAAAGAGGATCCTAAAAAAAAACAACTAATGTAATATGTTATCTACAACAATATAAAATATTAAACCAAAGAAACAGTATTGTCAGATGAGTAGTAGGGGAGAAAAGTGGTTGTGGGAAATAGATAATTTTGATTACTCCACAATGTTGTATTTTTGCAGAATGTTTATTTTGAACAAATGACTTTAAAAAGAGGAGGTTTCAATTCCTTAAATCTGTGACACTTCAGCAAATAAGAAATATTTTTCTGCTTTTGATTTTTGACAAATAGGTATTATTCAAGCAAAGATCATTGTGCCACAAAATCACTGTGGTTTGCTGATAAGCCAGGACTTGAGCTGTGATGGTTGTACTCATGTTACTATCTACTTGACACCCTGAGTTGTCCTTTTGGGTACAGGAGCACAGCCCACTTCTAAATGACTTTATATGCCTTTTTCTGGAACTGATCAGCAAAGGGCAACATTACAATTTTACAATTTTGCAAAGAGTACAACAGGAAGCAAATTGTCAGGGGGAGTGGATCAAACCATTTATTTTAACTGTGTAAATTATAATTTTCTTTCTGTTCTTCTGGTTTTATAAAAAGTAAATGCTCCAGAAAATAGAACAGCTAGACAGACTGATGTGGCTCTTCTGTATGCACCTTTAGGAGTACATGGATAGAGTAACCAAAATTTAGAATAAAATAAAATAGTTCAGTTGAAAAGGCTCAGTGATCACCTATCTGACCACTTAAGTGTGGATCAAAAGCTAAAGCATA